GCCCCCGCGCTCCCATAACCAAAGGTCCGGTGACTTTGGAGGAAACCACCGCAGCCCAAAGCCCTGCCTTGTTTCCCTGGAAATAAGAGCCAACTGGAAAATAAGCCCTAGCATGGTTTTTTTTTTCCTCCCCAGGATGCTCGTAATATAAGCCCTACTCTGAAAATAAGCCCCGGTTAAGATCGTCAGCCAGACGGATGCATCTGGAACCGTATTTTCCCCAAAATAAGACCCAACTGGAAAATAAGACCTAGCATGATTTTTTTCAGGATGTTTGTAATATAAGACCTACCCCCCCCAAAATAAGCCCCGGTTAAGATCGTCAGCCAGACGGATGCATTTGGAACCCTATTTTCCCCCCAAATAAGACCCAACTGGAAAATAAGACCTAGCATGATTTTTTCAGGATGTTTGTAATATAAGACCTACCCCCCCAAAATAAGCCCCGGTTAAGATCGTCAGCCAGACGGATGCATTTGGAACCGTATTTTCCCCAAAATAAGACCTGACCGGAAAACAAGCCCTACTGCGTCTTTTGTAGCAAAAATTAATATAAAACCTGGACTTATTTTCGGGGAAACGCGGTAATATCATAGGAAGTCCTCCATTTACAACCGAATTTTCATTGCTAAGCAAGACAATGGTTAGGTGAGGTTTGCCTCATTTTATGATATTTCTGGCCACCGTTAAGTGCATTCATTGCTCCAGCTATTAATTTGAATCTGGCTTCCCCACTGACTTTACTTTTCAGAAGGCCGCAAAAGGGGCACAGCGACCGTCATATATATGAGTCAGTTGCCAAGCAGCTGGACTTTGATCAGATGACCAGCTGGATTTTGATCAGATGACCAGTTGCCATGATCATGTCAAAGTGTGAAAAACAGCCATCAATCACATTTCTAGGGACGTTGTAACTTCCAAAGGTCACTAAATGAACGGTTGTAAGTCGACTGCTTATATTATTAAACATATTATATTGTACGATATTAATTTTGTATTATACTGTCCTGTATCACGTTATAACATCAGGATTTGTCACTTAATTATGAGCCAGCCGGGTGCGGCAGCCGCCATGGAATCCAAACTGGATGAAGTGATCGTACCGCTTTATACAGCCTTGGTAAGGCCACACCGGGAATACAGCAACCAATTTTGGGCACCACGTTACCAAAAAGACGCCGAGACTTTGGAAAAAGTGCAGAGAAGAGCAAGTAAGGTGATTAAAATGCCCGGAGAACGGTGGCAGGAACTGGGTTTGGCTAGTCTGGAGAAAAGAAGGACTAGGGGTGATAGGATAGCAGCCTTCCAATAGTTGAGGGGCTGCCCCAAAGAAGAGAGAGGGGTCAAGCTATTCTCCGAAGCCCCAGAAGAGGCAGGAGGAGAAGCAACGGATGGAAACTAAGCGAGGAGTAGAAGCAACCTGGAAGTAAGGAGGAATTTCCTGACAGTGAGGACAATTAACCGGTGGAACTGCCTGCCACCAGAAGCTGTGGCTGCTCCATCAATGGAGGCTTTTAAGAAGAGATTGGACAGTCGCTTGTCTGAAATGGGATAGTCTCCTGCCTGAGCAGGGGGTTGGACTAGAAGACCTCCCAAGGTCCTTTCCAACTCTTGTTGTTATTCTGGATGTTTTTAACACCCTCAAACATCAACTTCTGCCGATCGCCAGATCCTTGGCCCAATCCAGTCTACGCACCTGGTAGACTGGGTCGCCAAACGCAACACCGCAATAATGCAGCGCCGTCACCACCAAGAGCGCGATGACCAGAGAAAGGCAAACCCGTCCCCTTTGCCAAAAAGGGCTCAAAAGCTGCCCAGCCTTCCAGCCTCGGGCTAAGCCTGCTGCGCATCGATCCTGCCCCGACCCACCCGGCTGTGGTGGCTTGGCTCCGTGACGTCAGGGCGCCTTCTCCTTCCTCTTTAGGGAGAGGGGCTGCCCACTTCCCCCCAAATGCCCCAGAGCCAGAAAGGAGGACAAAACGTCCCGCTTTGAACCGTGGAAATCTCCGTCCTAAGAACGGCCTTGCTTCAGAAGGCAGGAGGACGAGTGGGTGGGCGGGATAATAGCCAAACCCCACTGCGGTGGGTGGGTGGGTGGGCTGTAGGCCCTCTTCTCTCAATCAAAGGGAGACCCAAAAAAGAAACCCCCCCCTCTGGATCGATTGAGGGTGGAAGGCCTGGCCAGGCGGGGCGGGTGCCCCCTCGCTCCTTCGCCGGGGCTCCCCTGCCTCCTTCCCTGGTGTGTCAGCTTGGGTCAGGGGGACCGTGCAGTCCCCGGCAGGAAGGGGCTTGCCCCTCGCGGTCGGCTGGGCACACACACAGACTGACCACAAGGAAGGGTCAAGTGATTCAGCCCAAAGCCTGCCAGCGGTTGGGGGGGTGAAAGGTGACGGGGAGGTGGCCTCCAGCCAGGAAGAGGGAGGAAAGGGGGCTCTGGGTTGAAGCAGGGAGCTGGCAGGGGGGGGTGGGGGTGGTAGGAGTTAATGGCTTTGGCCCCGAGGGCATCGCAGCCAGCTCAGGAAGCAGAGGGGCACCCTGTGAAAAGGCAGGTGAGGGGGCTGGAGAAAGGAGGGAGGGGGCGGAGAGGCTGTTTGCCCAAAGGCAGGAAGGAAGTGCCCGCCTCTCGGGTGTCAGGGGGCAAGGGGCATCCTCCACCGAGGGGGGCTGCAGGCTGTTGAAGGAGGCGATAAGCAAACGGGCAGGGGGGGTGGTCCTCGGAGGCCTGAAGTTTTGGTCCCCGGACAAAATCCCAGGAATGCCTGCGATTCGGCTACGAACGGGGTAGCAACGATGGCGCTTCTTTCTTTGAGAGCTTTCCCCAAACTCCCCCCAATTTTTATTTTTTATTCATAATTTATAATTCATACTTTTTTATTTTTCTTATATGTATCCATTTCATGTATTCATAACTATGTTTATACTTGTACCTGTTATCTTATAATCGCTTGACTAAATAGATAGATAGATAGATAGATAGATAGATAGATAGATAGATAGATAGATAGATAGATAGATAGATAAGATAGATAGATAGATAGGTGGGTAGGTAGATAGGTAGATGGATGAGTGGATAGATAGATAGATAGATAGATAGATAGGTAGGTAGGTAGGTAGGTAGGTAGGTAGATAGATAGATAGATAGATAGATAGATAGATAGATAGATGGATGAGTGGATAGATAGATAGATAGATAAATAGATAGATAGATAGATAGATAGATAGATAGATAGATGAGTGGATAGATAGGTAGATAGGTAGGTAGGTAGATCGGTCGATAGATAGATAGATAAGATAGGACCCTCCAAGCAAAATTTAAAAGCCCAAATGACCAAGAACAACAGCGAAGCAAACTCCAAAGTCAACGCCACACCCACAGAATGATACCTGGCTTCATTACGGGCTAAGGGAAAGGGGATGGGAAGGGGTGGTAGACAGGCGGGGAGTGGGATTTTAGGAATATCCAGAGGGCCACAAGCTGGGGTTTGCTAGTCAGGGCTAGGTGCTGACATGACGGAATACTTTTTTGGGGAGGGGATAGGAGGGGGCTGCCCCCCCCAAAGGACCTCCTGTCCTTTGCAATTGCTAGCTCAGATCCCAAGCAGGAGCTCTGCTGGCCAGTCCTCCAGCGTAGAAGCCGTGGCGATTCTTCATAGGCCTTAAATCTTCCAACCACAGCAACACGAGGATTGTGGGACTTCATCTCCCAGGATTCCCGGCTGGCTGGGGGATTCTGGGAGTTGAAGTCCACAAGTCTTAAAAGTAGCCAAGGTTGGAAAGCCCTGACTCATCCCCACCAACCAGCCATCTTTGATAAATCTCTGATAATCTTTGATGTTTTTCTTGGTTTCCGAGCTTGATTTTCCTCCAAATACCAGCTGGGAATCTGCCAGCCAACACATTTGACAGAAACAATTTTATAAAAGCGAAATACCGCTCAGGCATCATCACAAAGTCTCCAGAACCGTAAAGCCTACAAACTTGAAATTCGGCACGTATCTTCCTCTCGGCTTCTAGGGGCTCACTAAGAAAAGATTTTTCCAAACGGCCATCAGAGCATTTAGAGTATTTCCTATATTATTATTATTATTATTATTATTATTATTATTATTATTATTATTAACACCCTCTGATGCTAAGGAGTTCCACTCCCCCTCCTCACCTGGAAAGAAATCTCTTCCAAAAGCAAAACACAAGCAGAGGAGAGCAGTTTCACTTTCAGTTTCACAGCAGCATCAAGCAGCTTTAGTACAGAACAGTTGAGCTAAGCCACGCCCAGGCTCCTTGCTGTCTCCTTCTTGCTCACCCTGCAAATATTCTTTCCGTTTCCAAACAGCCCTCCACTCTCTCCCACGCTGACAGGACGCTAGCCAGAGGAATACCCATGGAGGCTGGTAGGCAGAATTTCTTTCCCCTGGTTTTCCTCCCCACAAACTAAGCCCCGCCGCATAGTTTCGTAGCGAAGCACGGGGATCGAGCTGGTCTTTGATAATCATCTTTGATGTTCTTCTTAGTTTCCTAACTTGATTTTCCTCCAAGTACCAGCCGGGAATCTGTCAGTCAACGCGTTCGATGGGAACCCATTTTAGGGAGAATCTGTCATGAAGTCGACTGAACGCTGAGGAATGAGGAGAACCTGGGATTTAGCTGCAGACTAAACCGGGCTTCCTCTGGAAGGACCAGAGACAGAACCAGGGACGGGTTTTTAGGGAGCCCCTTCTTAAAGTGGCGGAAGAAGGAAACAAAGGATTCTGGGGACAAACTCAAGAGAGAAGACCCCCCAGAGGCCAAAGGACTCAGCACCCCCCATTATCTCTGGGCGGCTTCCAATTGGGAACTGCCGGAAAAAAAGGGTCTCCCTTTCCTTCCCTTTTCACCCCCAAAACTGGCTCCCACCATTTGCTGGAAGACTTGCCTCCAGATCGGGCACCCGGTTTCCGACCCCGCAGGAGAGAGAAAGCCCAGATCCCCTAACTCCCCCCCCCCGTGGCCCCCCCCCTCACCTCCTTCCAGGAGCAACTTGACGGTGGTGTAGTCGTCCGCCAGCACCCCGTAATGCAACGCCGTGCAGCCCTTGAAACTGGCCCGGTTGTTCAAGCGGTTGTTGAAGTCGTCCTCCCGGGTGACCAGCACTGCAGGGGGAGAAAGTGGGTTAGGGGCAAAGCCACGCTCTCTGGCTCAAGGGTGTCTGTTTATGTGTGTGTTTATGTGTGCACGATGTGCAATGAAGGGACCACCAAGACCTCTCCCACCAACACCCACAGGGCAAGTCATTAAGTCTATAAACCAGAGGCCTCCAAACTGGGCAACTTTAAGACTTGTGGACCTCAACTCCCAGAATTCTCCAGTCGGCATAGCAACAAATCCCATTCCTCACTAGCACTGATGATATTCCCTAGTTTGGTCATGAAACGTCTGCAAGAAAACAGCCAAGTTCAAAGAGCACCAAGGACCCCACAGTCCCCGTTTCTCCTTGTCTCTTTTTCCTCCTCTTTTCTAGCACTGATGATGTCCTCACTAGCACTGATGATATTCCCTAGTTCGGTCATGAAATGTCTGCAAGAAAACAGCCAAGCTCAGAGAGCACCAAGGACTCGCACCATCCTCTTCCTCCTCCTTTCTCTCCAAAAACCCTAATCCCCTTCTAGCATCGATGATGTCACCTAGTTAAGTCAGGAAACACCTGCAAGAAAACAGCCAAGCTCAGAGAGCACCACGGACCCCACAGTCTTCCTCCCCCTTTCTCCTTGTCTCTTTCCCCCCCACTTTTCTAGCACTGATGATGTTCCCTAGCTGGGCCATGAAACGTCGCAAGGAAACAGCCAAGCTCAGAGAGCACCAAGGACCCCCACAGTCTTCCTCCCTCTTTCTCTTTTTCTCCTCTCCTTCTCCTCCCTTCTAACCCTGATAACGTTCCCTAGTTGGGTCAGGAAACACCTGCAAGGAGACAGCCAAGCTCAGAGAGACCCCACGGTTCAAACCTGACCTACAAAGATCTCTTCTCTCAAAATAATTCTGCCCAGACTAAAAGAAGAGCCTCCAGATTACCCGACAAAGGAGGAACCGGCCAATTTAACTGGACCGACTTGGAGTCCTTCTGCCTGCTGACGCTGTCTCGTTTGTCTCTTTGGGGCAGCCTGGCACAGAAAGCCAGAGACGTTACTTTGCACAGTTCTGTGCCTCGAAATCACGGAGGGGTGAGATGTAGATTTATTAGATGTAAAAACTAATGAAAAAATAAAATAAAATAGAGTTTTCCTAGTAGAATATAGCAAGTCACCTGGCATAGATCAGCCTATGTTTAATGTTACGACTGCAGAAACAAACAGATAAATGGTTTGAAATATTATTTTTGCTACTGTGCACCTTCCAGAGGGCATTTCCCCCTAACAGGTGCATTCCTGGTGTTTTTTTCAATGGTAGAAATACACCGGGAATGCACGCACATTAGTTAAGAGGTTCAATGGGAAATTTCTTAAGTTTCTGTGGGTAAAAAGTGACCTTTTTCCTGGAACGTACATCCTTATAGATTTTCCAGAACAGAAAAACTACCGTAGAAAGAAAGAAAGAAAGAAAGAAAGAAAGAAAGAAAGAAAGAAAGAA